ATGTATCTGAATATGTAAGCCTATGTGCCTTTCAGCGTTATCCTCTCTGCTGGTAGACTTATAAACACTATTAGTTTGAAGTTAACGCGAAAATTGTAAAAATTCTAGGCAATTCCCATTTTTCTTTAATTGTTCATTTAATAAGTAATAAAGTCAAAGTATGAAATCTAACTCCATATTTACCATACTATGATTTAACAATAAAACTGATATGAAATATTTTAAATTCACAGTACACATAAAAAGCTTCATTTTATCGCATATTAAAAAACAAACATAAAACCTAGAAAGCAGCTTAAAGCAATTTATAACATAACCTCTTTAAAAAAAGTTAACAAAGTGCTTTTACGGTAATCAAATTTCTTCAAATAGCCAAGTAAACAGTAGTGTTAGACTGACTCCAAAATACTGGCACTGGACTATATAGCACACCATAGACACAAGGTGAAGCGTGGGTCCTCCTATTATCAAGCACTGTATTTACATGGTAACTTCCATGAATTCTGATGCAGAGTAGAAGCATAAATCCCTCATTCAGGCATTGTGGGTAAGGACCCTTAAGACATGATTATGTTTGAAGAACTGAACCTGAGTAGCCTGTGCAACAGGAATGCAAGTAAAAATTGAAAAGGCCAAGTGAAGAAAGGAATAAATATGGAACTTTAGAACAGCATCATAGAAAGAAATCAAGTAAAGGCAGCCAAACCGCTTTTCCTATATTAGGGAAACAGGAAAGAACGTCTCTTAAGAAGTCAAAATGGAGATCAGTCTAGCACTAGTAAATGGATTAATAACTACATATACAATTTTTATATAAAATACTAGAACATAAAATATTTAATTCATTAACATTACATAAGTACCATGACACACTGTCACCATTTACTTTTTGTTGTCTTGCAGCAAGGACATTCTTGTTGTTTAGCTGCACAGTGTTCACAAAGGACATAATGTTGGCATGGCTGCAGGACAACGCTACGGTTATGTTCTCGGCATACAACACACTTCTTTGAATGGATCTGAAAAATTACCTGGAAAAAAAGAATTGCTCAATAAAGATAATCCAATGTGCAGCGTCTCATTTTGGCAGTAATGCAAGGATAAATATTTACAGCTCTTTAATTGCCAAACTGTTGTCCACTGCACTGAAGCTAAAAGCTGGTTTAAAACTATTTTTCTATCACTGAGAAATCTGTGAAGAATCATTTGAGTTGGGGAAATTCAGTCTGGCATATTTCAAGCCCCAATGTACATGAACTTAGTATTCTTTCAGTGAAATTAAAAACTCTCTGTAAACACTCTATATAATGGTGTTAAACTGTCCATTTTTAAATAAAAATATAGTCACATCTACATATACATCTATATATACACAACTATCCATTTAACAGAATTAACAAAGAAGTAACACTATCCACAGTGTTCCCTATTGTTTCGAAATCCAAATGGAGCTGACTTCGTAAAGAATGAAGCTTTGGTAAGGGTATTGTTTCTATATCTCCATAGCTTTTCAGATGAGGCAATGGAGTGGATAGACACACAAACTGTTCCTGAAGGTTTTTAAACTTATTTTCCACTTCCTCTTTTTTCCGAAGGGCTAGCTGTTTCTCCGTGTCTGCCACATTAGCACGTTCCTTGGCCTCTTGGGCCTCTTTTTGCCATGCATCACATGCCTATAACAGAAAGATTTATGGAACATGATATAATATTTTGTAAATTAATAACAGAGGCCTAAATATAAAAGGTCCTCAAGATACATAAAATATGAATCTTCAGCTACCACATGAGCTTATGGTTTCCTTCATCCTCTCCATGCCTCTCACCACCCTTTTTCATCTCCTTTTGATTTTTGTCTAAATAAGGATTTCATCTCCAATTGTCTATAAATCACTAGGAATACTTATGAGCGAGTATGCATACATGAAAAAAAATGGATCAAACAACCCTAATTTGACAGCAAGAGTTTAAAACTCAAACAGTAGTAAAGCTACTCTGCTGGCTATTCCCCTAAAGTAGAAAGCATTAAAACATCTTTGCCCTCTGTGATGTTAGGAGAAAGTTAGTGATGTTAGGAGAAAGGAGAGAACACCTAAAACTTATCATTATACTCTACTCCCAATTGTGCTTTTGTAGGAGTCAAGCAGATACCAACACTAGTTCCTGAATGCTGGGGAA